GGGGCGGGGGCAGGAACCGACGAGGGGCGCGGCGCGGCGCGGTGGGTTGGGGCGGTGCGGCAGTATCGATTGCGCCCTACGAAATTTGGGGGGCCCTTCCTCACCGCCCCGGACCGCAACGCCTCGCATGGCTGCAGTGGCGCATTCAGACACGTTGGCAGGGCCAACCCACGGCCTGGCTGGCGCCTGCAACCCGAATTCCCGTTTCATATTTCTTCTATGACACGTTTTTACCTTATTATACGATCAGGCTGTTACCCGTGGTGTCTTGCATCAATAAAATTAAATGCGTTGCTGTTTTCAGTCTTTAACCATTTTTAATGTGACAAATATAGCAATATTAATTTGATAACAAAAAGTAGTTTACTTAATTTATTTTATGTAATGAAGCCTGTGTATATTTATACATTAAAAGGTTTTGACCTGTTGAATGAGTTTATTTGGTGGGATGTGTTGAAAATTACATTGTAAATTGTTTTAGGAATGAAGAAATCATGATTCTCCTAAGAGTTGCTCCCGGTCTCGAAAGACATTGCCAACCACAGTCAGTCGATTGTCAGAACATGAGCTCTCAGCATAGGAATTTGACTCCGGGTTTCCGATAGAATGGCCGCCCTTATTCCAGGAATTTCCTTTCTCGTAACTCGGAAATTTCATTTGAAACCGACTCTCTCATCAATGACTGCCTACCTGCCTCTCATCGCTGATCACCGTTTCATTTGCTTCTGCACCTCCCTTCGATTCTTTAAAAGAACACCTTCTGGTTTGACTTCTAGTATGTCCCACCAGCAGGGTGTAAGCCCTGAGCACTGTTCTGACGATACAAAACTTCGTGTGACACTTATCCCAAACCCACGTGCCAAGTCGACGTTGGTGGCACGAAAGACGCTCTCAGACGTCGCTATTACTTCTGCAACAAAGGTTTACAGTCCTGGCAATGAATTCCTAGAATTAATAAAAGCCGGTCACTCCAAGATGCATTTCCAATGGATACTTTGTTCTTTACAAGGACAATATAAAAAATCTGTCATCAAAGGAAATAAACATTATTTCCATAGATTTTTATCGTTCCATACATTTCTTATACTTATTCACAATTCAGGAAGATTGAAATAGTAAAAATATTTTGGAATTCATTATCCGAGAGAAATGAAACGAGAGCAAGTACTGGATAAGTTGAGAATGGAGCAGAAAATACTTGTAATTGTACGCTCCTAAATGTAAATTAATGATATTCAAACTATCTTTTTTGTGAACAGATAGCTTTTGAGTTCAGACATAGTGTATCACGTTTTACCTCTCGACTTGAAGGTCTTTGACTAGAAACCAGTGGAGGCTCCTGCTTAGATTGCACAACCCTCAGGTAAGCGAAAAATATTTTTTAATGTTATAGGAATACACATTTCACATTTTCCTTGTAATTGCATTTAATATTCAAGATATTGCTGCAATAGCGTTGAATGTTAAATCATTTTGAAACCGAAAAGCACCCAACTGGCGCTCTCTTCGGCGTATGGTTCCCCCCCAGGTATTGCACCATGTCACGCTCTTGGCTCTATTACTTTGTTCACGCATTTGCTCATTTGCCATACGCTTCAACACGCTTGAACACGGCACCTTCGGTTGCGTAATCAGTAGGTGTGTGTGTGTGTGTGTGTGTGTGTGTGTGTGTGTGTGTGTGTGTGTGTGTGGTTGTCGCCGAGCGCCGCGCGGCCTACGAGGGAAATACAAATTTTCTGTCTACGTCTGACACTAGCTGCAACTTAGTTTTATGAATTTTACTTAGCTAGCTGCAACATAGTCTTAGAAAAAACACAAGATCAGATAATTATTGACGGTATCGAATGCTTTATTTATGTTTGGAGAAATATACTCAATGTTATGATTGTTGATTCCTATTGTGCATTTGAAGAGTGCAC